TAGTTAACAGCCAAGGGCTTAACTACTGCACCACCAGGGTACCTTAGGAACTAAGGTGCCATCCATACCAGTTAGTAATGATTGATGAGATCCATGTGTATTCAAAGACGTTTTCAAAGAGCAAACAGGAAGCTCAATGAAGCCTAAGTGCTTATGTATCCCCAGGTTGCACACGGTGGCTGAAGTCAGAATCGTCTCCATGGCACACAAGAGCAACATCAACGTGCACCAGGATCTACGCTGGCCACCGACAGTACCAAGTCACATAAGATCTAAGGAGCTTAATCCTTCATGTTCTTAATCTGCTCAGAGAGAAGATAAAGCCACACCCATAACATCTCCAGCCTTTGTCCCCTTTGCACCTTTCCCCGGCATTTTAAGAAATGTGAGCCCATGACACATGCATCCCTGCAGCCCCAAGTGTAATAAAAGGTGGTCAGTGGTGGACGCTATATCCTCTGATCTCCATATCCACTCCCCATTCTTACTCTTCACGTCAACCAGGAATCACTACCTTTGTTGTTTCAGGTGGATACTGCTTCCTGAGACCATGAAGCCCCTCTGCTCCTGCTTTTCAGAGTCCCTGAGGGGCTGAATCCCATCCTTCAAGGTTTAGCCCTGATATTATTTCCCCCAAGGATGCTTTTGATGACTGTCCTATGGATTGGATCCCCCTCCTGTGTCATCTTTTAGTTCCCCTGGTCTGACTCAGGTACAGAAATGGTCACGCAGCATGGTCGGTCATTCTCTGTGTAGGTATCTGTCTCCCTTGGTAACTGGTGAACTCTTTAAGACAGCAACCATATCTTCCATAACAAACCAAACCAAACTCACTGCCATTGAGTCAATTCTGACTCAGTGTGACCCCTCTTTGGGTTTCTGAGGCAGTAAATCTTTATGGAAGTAGATTGTCCAGTCTTCCTTCTGCAGAGTGGCTGGCGGGTTTGAACTGCCAACTTTCTGGTTAGCAGTCAAATGACTTAGGCACTATGCACCAGAGCTCCTTGTATCTTCTGTATTAGTGTTTAACATGTAACAATGTTTATGAAGGAGGCCTGGTTGCACAGTGGTAAGTGCTCAGCTGCTAACCCAAAGGTCAATGGTTTGAACCCACCAGCTCCTCTGAAGGAAAAAGATGAGCTTGTCTGCTTCCGGTAAGATTGACAGCCTCAGAAACCCTATGGGGCATTTCTACTTTGACCTCTAGGGGCGCTGTGAGTCAGAATCAACTTGATAGCAATGGGTTTGGTTTGGACTTTGCTTCCATAAAGATTTATAGCCTTGGAAATCCTGTGGGGGGAATTCTACTCTGTCCTACAGGGTCACTGTGAGTTGTGACTGACTTGATGGCAATGGGTTTGGTTTTGGTAATAACATTTATAGTAATGAATGTGTGATTGTTGACAGAAAAGACAAATAAGAGTCATGCTTTAGGAATATGTCAAAGATAGGGATTTATGACAACTGGACTAGAGACAGCAGGTAAGTATGAATATATAGAAATCGTTTTCGGAGGAGGTTATATTTGAGCTCAAACTTGCATATGGGTAGACTTCTCATGGCAGACTGAGGAAAGGAGGGCCCAGCATACTATGAGCAGAGACAGCCAGGTGGATGAGGTTTAAGCTACACCATGCAGACTTGAACACTAGTCTGAGCAAAAGGAAGCTGGAGAGTTTTCAAACAGGAAGTAAGGTCAGATCAACCTTTTTAGGTAATAACCAACTTAACAGTGTTAAGGAGACTGGAAGGAAGAATGCCTAGTTGTAGCTACAATTTAAAGTCTCTGCGTGGTGCAAACAGCTGATGCATTCAGCTGCTAACCAAAGGCTGGGAGTTCGAGCCCACCCAGAAGCACCTTGGAAGAAAGGCCTGGCAATCTACTCCCGAAAAATCAACCACTGAGACCCTGTGGAGCACAGTTCTGCCATGACACACATGAAGCGGCTGGAGTCAGAGTCATCTTGACAGCAACTGGTAGTGAGTACTGGTTTTTAGACATTGTTGCTGCTAAGTGAATGGTATGAAAATGTTCCTCTGCTTTAATAAACTTGACCAACAACTCACTGTTGTAGTTTTGGTTTACATGGATCGGTCTGCCATTGGAGGTCCAGTGGTAGAATGATCACCTTCCAGGCGGGAGGCCTGGGTTCGAGTGCCATCAATGCACCTCATGCACAGCCAGCACCCGTCCATCAGTGGAGGCTTGTGTGTTGCTGTGATGCTAAGGAGACTTCAGTGGCGCTTCCAGCGTAAGATGTCCTGGGAAGCAAGGCCTGGTGACCTTCTTCCAAATCAGCCAGTGCAGCCCCAGGGGAGCACAGTCCCACTCTGATGCACTCGGGGTCACATGAGTCGGAGTTGACTCAACGGCATCTACTAGACGCCAGGCACCATGCTAGCTCATAGGCTGACTGATGCTGTTACCCACGCGATGATCCCAGGAGACAGGCCCCGTCACCACTGTTTACAGGTGATAAAATGGTGGCTCAGGGGGTTTTAAAGAGTGTGCTCAAGACCTCAGAGCTTGGCTTCCAATTCAGGTCTTACCCCAAAACCAGGCTCTCTGGCACCTCCCTGCTCTCCCCTCTTTGTTGCACCCAGCTATTACCACGACCACCTGCCATGGAGTGGACTCTGACTAATGGTGACAACGTCTGTCAGAATATATCTGAGCTCCACACAGTTTTTAAAAATCATGAGGCTAACTTGAACTTCTAAACCTATCTCCTTTCTCTTCAGTATTATCATGAGAATAGACACTTTCTTTCACAGCCTACCCTGGGCTTCCACTGTGCCCACCAGGCTTGGATTCAGGCCACCACTTCCCCATGGAGTGCTCTCTGGGTAAAAGTAGTTACATTTCACTGTAGGCATAGCTGCTATGGGATTCAGGGGGAAAGCCTTAGCCTTCAGCATCAGGGCCCAGGCCTATCAGGATCTCCCCTGCTAGATGCAGAATCACTAGGCCTGGGTGGCGCCATGCCCAGCTGTCCACACCCCCTCAGGAAGGTCCAGGGGGCTGAGGGTCATTAACTCCAAGGTCTCCTTACTTAGAGATCCTAGCCCTCCATCCCAATGAGATGTCCAAGTGCCTTCACTATAGCCATGCCTGGGCCTGTCCAGAAGAGATGCAGACCAGAGCACCCCAACCTCATCCACGTCAGAAGCACGTGCCTCAGTACTACATGCCTCAGGACCATACAGGCCAACCAGGAGAACTAGAAGAAGCTGTGAGAACCCATCTTGTTCTGCCAGAGCAGTGGTCATCAACTGTTCATGATCTGAAAAACCACGCTCAGTCACGCAATCTCCAAATATGTACATTTGGAAATCATAAGCATCTATACATCACTTATACACAGTACACATTATAAGTACAGAAAAAGGTATTTTAAAAGATGAGATGGTATACATCAGTTCTTATTTTATGAATTATTGAAACATACAGCTATTTCATTCTCACTGAAACACATTTACTATAATGACTCAAATGCTTGGTTCTTCTCATTGCCATTGAGTCAATTCCAACTCATAGTGACATTACAGGACAGAGTAGAACTTCCCCATGGGTTTCCATCTTTATGGAAGCAGACTGCCACATCTTTCTCCCACGGAGCAGCTGGTGGATTGTAATCATCAACCTTTCAGTTAGCACCTGAGCATTTTAACACTGCATCACAAGGTTCCTTGTCTGGTTCTTATTCAGTCTAATCTAGCATTAGGCTTTAGTGGCAAGCATAGCTAAACAAGATGCCTCCTAAAACACAAAGACTGAGAAAGAAGAGAGAGTGCCATAGCTTTGCTGAGGGAGTCATGATCTCAACATGCATTTTTCAACACCTTTACCAACTTCACAGAGGTCTCATGTTTTGGACATGTCATTTGAAATGACTTGTTAATGCTGCTGATTTCACACAGGTCTTCATCAATATCTCAAGGCCCAATTATACAGTATTGTGAAAAATTATGGTTACAAATTCATAAATAAATAGTTTTTTCATTAAGTTCAAGTTTTTCAGCCTATGTATTGTTGAATTAACTAACCTAACCAATTGCCATTGGGTCAACCCCAACTCATGGGATCTCCATGGGTGACATCAGCTGAGATCAGCTAAACCTAGCCCAGTTCAGAAGAACCACCCAGCTGAGCACAGCCCAAACTGCCTAACCTCAGAATCACCAGGTAAGTCATCAGCTGTCGTTGTAAGCCACGACGACTCAATGGCAAATAACAACAACAAAGGTGTAGGGCAGTTTGCTATGCAGCAAAGGCAAACTAGTAGACAACCCTTGTTTTAGACACTTGTTCACTCTGTAAAATTGGGCATATCACACTTAGTGCCTCTAAACTTCAGTTTCCTCATCTGCAACACGGGGAAGGAGGAACCACTGTACCACTTGGCAGTGAGATGCTTTATGCAATCATTTCATGTCTTAATGTTTTAAGTGACCCTGAGAAGTCAGGCTATCATGAGGGCCAACTGAGATCAGACATATGAGAGCCCAAATGCACAGCTCATCTTCAAGATATGGATGCAATTCCATTTTAATTATGTTTTTAATGAGGGTGTTTGTAAATACCAGCATCCCAGGTTTTTGAGAGACCTGAGCAAAGGTCATGGTTTGGGGAGGCAGCCCTACTAGTACAGACTACTCACACCCCTTGCAGTCAGAGCTACAAAGGCCAGCTTCCTTGCCAATATGTTTGCCTCCCTTTAAAACCGTCATATTTAATGGAAACAGCAACTGAGGAGAGAGAGGGAGAGGGAGGAGCAGGAGGGATGAGAAAAATTAGCATTTCCTAGTCTGTCAATATGTGGTCTATTTTCTGAGGCACTAGGATTTTGATTTTCTTTTTGGCAGGAAAAGTAATGAGCATGTTTTCCTCATTAAATCCAAACTCCCTATAACCTTCCCTCACTATCTTCATTCAGCCTTTCTGTGCCAGGAAAAAAAATATATATATATATAAAATATATATATTAAAGCATACTTACCCTCTCTGGAAAAGATCGACATTATAAAATTTATGTAGCTCCACTGAAAACTCAACCGTTCCTTGTACTTCAGACATGATCTTTTTGGTTCATTACCTGAAAAATGAGAGAAATGAACAGTTTGGGATCCCATGAGCCAAAGACAGAGAGACGGGGATCCTACCCTGTGAAACCACATGGGGTTTACATGGACATAAATTTCTGACCAATGGGAACATGGGATGTCTGCTAGATGGCACCACTCATGGGTTCCTTTTGTTTTGTTATGAATTTTTATTGTGATTTGAGTGAAAGTTTACAGAGCAAATTCATTTTCCATACAGCAGTTCATACACATTTTATCTCATGACATTGACTGCAATTCCCCACAACGTAACAGCTCTCTTCCCACTTCCTCTCCATAATTACGTCTTCCTTATGTACTCCCCTCTCATGCACTCCCACCCCCTAAGCTATCTCCCTGTGCAAACACTGCCCTTCTGTTCTCCATGACTGATCTTTCCAAGTAGAATTATCTACCTGATGTAAACGTTCAGCCCATATGCTTGTCTATTGTTTGAACTCATGGGGAGTGAGCTCAATTCCAGACCTGAAGGGTGGCTAGGGGTCATAGTCTCAGGAGTCTCATCAGGCTCCATCAGACCAGCAAATCTAGTCTTTATTTTATAATTGAGTTTTGTTCCACATTGTTCTCCCATTCTATCCAGACTCAGGGATTCCTTTTACTGGAACAGAGAGGTTAAGTGAATTGCTTAAGTCCCACAGCTTACACTTAGAAGAGATGAAGTCAGATCCAAAAATCCTGACTCAAAAGCCAAGCTGGCCTACTGCCCGTCTCACTGGTCAGTATTCCAACTGAGAGCAAATGATTCATGGTTAATGGTGTGGGTATCCCTCCTGTCACCTTCCAGCTGCATGACTTGAATTAAGTCACTTAGCTTCTCCTCAGTGTCCTCATCTGTGACAAGAGGACTAATAATAGCATATAGCTTGACGTAGATGATTGTAAGATTAAATGAGATATATGTTCTGGTTACCTAGTGCTGCTCTGACAAGAATATACCACAATTAGGATGGCCTTAACAAGCAGGAGTTTAAGTTTAGAAACTTTAAGTCCAAGTTCAAAGTGCCAGGCTCTAGTAGGGGCTGAGTGAAAGCTCTTCAGCCTTGGGCTTCAGCTCTGCCTCCAGCTCCCCACCCATTGAAGCTGGAGGCTTTTCTTCACTCAGACAGCTGTTGGTTGCTGAGGCTGCCAAGCCCAAGGTTAACAATTAAAAAGGCACAGTCTCGATGTTACCAAACCACAGGGCAAGCCATTAATTCAAGTCCATTGTAAGTCTCCAGGTTGGCAGAGCATGGCAGGTTGCTGAACAATGACACAGCTACATGCCAGCTCCAAGCATGCCATAAGCTAGAAACTATCCCCAAGGCTTCTCCTTATATACAGGAAGCAGATCACATCCCAAAGGCTGCTACTCAGCTGTGTGGTAGGAACACATGGAGTTGATTGCAACTCTCATTCTGGGGAATAACTACCACCAGCTGCCCAGGCACTCAAGCAGGCCCAGCCAAGTTGACATACAAATTTAACTACCACAATATGCTACAGAAAATGCCTTGTACAGCTCTTGATCCAATAAATTCTCAGTAAATGGTAGATGTCATTGATAATGACTAATAGACGTGCTCAGCGATTTTATTATTTTGTTCTATATGAAGTCCTCGCAGAGATAAGGTGGCTGGAGTGGCAGGGGCAAAATTGTTTCCTACCACACATGGGAAGCAGAAGTGGGTGCTGTTGCTAGGCAACTTGTTGTTAGTTGCATCACCGTGAGTCGATTCTGACTCATGGTGACACTGTATCAGAGTAGAACTGTGCTCCACAGGGTTTTCAAGGCTGTGACCTTTCAGAAGCAGATGGCCAGACCTGTCTTCTGTGGCACCTCTGGGGTGGTCTGAACCACCAACCTTTTGGTTAGAAGTCGAGTGCTTAACCATTTGCACTACCCAAGGATTCCAAACCAGCTTCACTGGCTGCTCATTTACCAGCCAAGAGACTCTAGGGCCAATAGCAAGAGAAGTCAGTGGGAGTAATGGGAGGGAACAAAACTAAGATAATAGACCAAGTCTGGGATGAGAAAATCAGAGACCTGTAGCAAACCAAACTTCCCATGAATGTGAAAAATTCCAGACACCATGGATGTGGAAGAAGGGAAAGAAATGGACTTTCATCAAGGACCTTCATTTTCTCCCACAACAACTTTGTGATAAAGACCCCTGCCCCATTCTGCAGATAACAAGAGATCAGAGACAGTCTGATATGGACTCACTACCTTCTAACTCTAGAATTCTAGGGGTATGTCTGTTGGTAAGTTTTCTCATTCAGTTTACCACCATGTGCTATGGGGTTCTACAAGCTACCTAGTAGTATTCTTGGCAGGATGGGAGATAATGACTTCATCGTACCTGGGTGCCGATCCTCAATAGGTGGCAGCTGGGGGATGGAGGGAAGGAAAAGCAAGAGACTTGGTCTCTCCTGGCTGGCCAGTCGTGACTGGCACTTATGTCTTCTTTCAAAGCCCCTCTTCTTTCTGCTCCAAGGGCACTCAGGGACTGATGGCCACTGTTGTGGTTGAGAGCCAAACCCCACTGCAGTTAATGGGGTCATGCCAGACCAGCTCCCGAGAACACAAGAACACAAGGGATTAACTAGGCCTTACCTCTGCAGCCCAACTCTGGCCAGTGTGGTGTCTAGGGAAACATTCCCGAAGATGCAGAGCACCACAACCAAATTAAAACGCAGAAGAGATTTAAGATTCAAAATGGAGTCTCACCAGTAATCACCACGCTATTTCCCTCTAGCATCTTAGTGCTTGAAAAACCAGGTACAGCAGTTTGAATTAGGGATTCTGGTACTCTTAACAGCTCATTGAGTTAGAGTGCACCAAACTCAGAGGAGTAGAAGTAGAAAGGAGAAAGGGACAGGGAAAAATAAAAAGATCAGAAGATCTATCCTGCGGAGTGCCAACAAGCAGCCAAGAAAGGCCATTGGAGACTTCCCTGGGGGAGCACCGATGGGTAGGCGAGAACGGCCATCCAAGACCTCCCTGGGTTAAGGAAGAAGACACACCACAAGAGCATACCAGTGACCACACCACCATACCAGCGATCACGCCAAGGATCTACCTTCAGCACCTGATTTTATCAGTAACTTGGGTCGGCTAGATGCAAACAGGCATGTCCAGAACTGCTGAAACCTGAGCAGAGAGTCCACTGGTGCTGCAGGAGGGCAGGCCCGGGAGGTGCCCCCACAGCATGTCACCTAGTAGGCTTGGTTCAGTTTAGTGGCACTGAGAGGCCTGCACCTGATTTTATCAGTAATATTGGGACCACAGATTACTAGCAGGCACTCTCCCGACTCCAATGCCACTAAAACCGAGCGGATCTTTGGTGCCGCAGGTGGGTGGACCCACAAAGGAATTCCCAAGGCAGATCGCAGTCAGGGCCAGTTGGGCCAGCATTGCGGGTGAACAGGCCCAGAGAGAGAAACCCCCATGGCAGATCGTGGAGCCAGGAAGTTGTCTTGAGTCAGCTTTTTGGTGTGAGGGGCCTCAGAAGCAGGGTTTTTGCATGTGTCTGAGCCTGGCGGAAACTGGCGACCCCTTAACAACTGGAGTCTTTGCTGAAATTGAGCTGTGGGCCTGTGAATAACAGTACAACATCATCAGTAGCAGCCCACTCAAAGCCCTAGAAACCTCCCCTAGCAACAGCAAGCTTTCCTTCTTCTGCTCCCACCTTCTCCACCAATAATTTCACTCACCCAATAGAAGAAACCACAATCAGTCACCATTAAACCTCCTGGCTCAAACTCTAAACACTTTTTATGACAAACAGAAACCTATATCCACATTCCACACAGTTATTCCACCACCATCACGAAGAAAACTGCTGAGCAACCCAGCATACCTGGATTAATAACAAAAGAAATAAAATACACCAGCTTCACCTTTACAAAATATAAAACCAAGACAAAACCAATCAATACATAACCAACAGTTAAAGACAACCTCAGTGAGCTGTTAATGTCTAGGAAACAACAGGGAACCTCAAAGCAAACAAAAAAACAGGACAAAGCATTAGAAGCAAAACTACAAACAAAGGTCTCATTAAACATGGAGGAAGAGGAGGCAATAGAATTATCTGAGAAGGAATTTAGAAGATATGTTTATAGAGCTTTACAAGAGCCTAAGGAAACCCCAAACAGAAACAAGAAGAACACAGACAGCTCCCTGGAAGAACTCAGAAAAAAATAATTCAAGAACAAAATAATAAGATTAATGCACAATCAGAACTCATACAAAAACAGCAGTTAGAAATCCAGAAGATGAAGACCAAAATTACAGAATTACACAACACAGTAGAAGCACAAAAGGGTAGGTTAGAACTCACTGAGAATGCATATCCCAACTAGAAGACAAATCCCTGGACACCAGCCTGTATGAAGAAAAATCAGCACAAAGATTTAAGAGAAATGAAGAGAACCTAAGAATTATATTGGATGACATGAGAAGAAACCACATAAGACTCATTGGAATTCCAGAACAAGAAGAGGTGATAAAAACCACCAA